CCATCAGGAATGTTTTAAAATGACTTCTTGTCTTGTTAAATAGGGGCACATTTGCATGTTCTTGGCTTCTTTAAGCTGCCTTTCAGATTGTGAATGTGAATCCTTGCTGTCATCAGTGTCAGTTGCTGCAGAGAGAGAAGGAAATCAGGAGCAGGAAAACGAAAGTCTTTCTGTTTTTTCCTTCCTCTGAGTTACAGTGGATGCAGAAGTTGAGGGCAGAGCAGAGATCACTCTTGTCTTCACATGTACATCTCCTGTATTATGCGGCTTACCCACCAACAATAAAAGATGTTGTGGGGAAAGGTGATTCTGCTGGCAGAGGGGAGAGGGGGGGGAAAAAGCCCCAAACCAGCCCCCCCTGCAGCAGTATGCGCCAGGGTTCGTGACCTTCGCTGGCTGTGATCCCTGGTGGGCGCTGATGGTGGCTTTGTGCAGGGCTGTGTACTACTTTGCGTACCATTGTGCAGGAGCTCTTGGTATGGGGCTGCTGGAAAGGCATTGACAAACTTCCAGATAAGCTTTTGTTCTGCTGTAAAAACAATCTGAATAAATGGAACAGAAGAAAACAAAACACTTCTAGTAAGATTTTGGCACCTGTTTCCAAAAGAAAAAGGTCTTTTTTTTTGTTTTCGTTACACTGACCCTCGTGCTTTGTGATGAAAAAAAGTAGAACACAGCTCTTGCCAATTTTCCTTCCCTGCTTTGCTCCGCTGGGCTTTGTAGATGCCGCAGGTGTGTTAAGACTGATGTAGAAGGAACCTCTTTATGCTGGGACGGCATTTCTGTGAACATTTAGATTTATTGCATCTGCTATGGAAAAAACCCAAACCTGTCTCCCGGATCTTTTCATTTGAAGTGTGGTGCACGTGCCTTCGCTGCGTCGCATCGCTCTGTACGTTGCGTATGAAGCTTCCGTAGTCACGTTTACAAGATGATGCACAGTTGCTGTTGTAATAGCACCCAGAAAGCCGGCAGACAAACCAGAAGCAGGTTGCTGGAGGGAAGGGGGAGGAAAAGCACAGTCGCACAAACCTGAACTTAGAAATGCAGTCAGCCCTCTTTTTTGTGGCCTCTTTTTTGAGGGTAAGTTTATTCGTGATACCTCATGGGCCAGCCTGTAATTCAGTAAGCGGTGAGTGAGACCTGCACCTCGTCGACCTGCTACACTGGAATGCCGCAGGAGCGTGACCGCGTCCTCAAGACCAGCGCTGGTGCCGTTTCAGGTTTTATTTTCCCCTTCCATCCGATGGTATCGTGTATGACTTTCGCCCCCACCCTGGCTTTTGTTGGTAGTGGTATCGCTATAGGTTAAGCATTTGACTTGAAACAAGTCTCACGATTCCGTTGCGCCTCTCTGGAGGTCTTGCTGGAAGCGTGTCCTTAAGGAAGTACGCGGCTGCGGATGAGGAAATGCGAAGCTGAGCACCCTCAGCTCGGGAGAGGCGGCCGGGTCGGACAGCAGAAGGCGATCTGTCAGCAAGCGCTTCCTGGGGCTCGGGGCAGCCGGCTTCCTTTTCCATCTTAACCAGCAAAGCAAAAAGAAAAATAAGCTCTAGAAGTTAGCATCGGCCCTCAGAAGGAAAGATTGCTCGCTAGGGATGGTGAGGGGTGTGAGGTACAGCACGCTCCTTGGCTGTACGACTGACGTCCCTCACGTGTCAATATCCTGTACCAGCAATAACCGGTACCACTCGGAACGGGCCAGCGCGGGGGCTCCGGCGGCCTCGAGGGCGGCTCATGGCCACCCACCCCTGGCTCCAGAGACTTTCTTAAACTCCTCACAGACAGAAATACCAGTAGCCTTCGTTTTTGCTTTTAATCTTTCTCCTGACTTTTGAATGTACAGTGTTAAATCTGCTTTCATGGAAAAGGGTGAACAAAACTGTGACAGACGTAAAGGAATGTTCTGCTGGAGATTGTCGAAGCGCCTGCGGGCTTCAGCTGTACTGCAGCGTGCCCGAACTGGGGGGGAAAGGGCTTTAACCCTGTTGCTCTGGTTTTTAAAAGGAATTAGATCTATGTTCCCTTTGGAAAGGGAAGAGAATATAAATCTTTTTATTAAGAAAAAAAAGGAATGTAAAGTAAAAATGTATATCTGTATTTTTTGATCATGTTACAGATGATGGCTATATTGTTATAAATAAAAGTATTTTTGGGAACAGGAGCGTGCGAGAGTGTGTTGC